GGAATAGAGAAACACACAGGACTCCAGCCGGCGACATGTGAGACTATCAGTAACACTTAGTAGTCTAGTGTGCATACAGTCGTCATCAGCAGAAGTGACCAGATCTGATGGTGCTAGTATGTCAAACTTTCATCATCAGAAGTGACAGATCTGATGATGCTAATCTGTTATTATATTTTTTACGTTAACAATTTTGAGTTTCACAACACGGTTAAGCTTTCTCGAATGCAGTACTTTGAATAACTTGATAAAGACCTGGAATAATTCGACGATTTCGAGAGAGAATAGAGAATATAATCATTTGTTTTCTGACTTCGTGGTCATAATAACTCAAAACGTATGAAAATGGATAGAACTGTCAGAGGGAGCTAGATGTTCCATGTCTTGGCCTGTATGTTGATTCAAATGTCCCAGAAACTCAACAAAGGTGAGAGAAATTGCGTTTACTTTCTCCATCCTCCCCTAGAAGAAATCAGTGGTGTGTTTTTAACGGTTCCTACGACCGACACAAACCTTTTTCAACATCCCATAATCTCTTTCTCTCTCTCTCTCTCTCTCTCTCTCTCTCTCTCTCTCTCTCTCTCTCTTCTCTCTCTCTCTCTTCTCTCTCTCTCTCTCTCTCTTCTCTCCACACTACTCATTCCTTCTCTTGCCCACATTGTCATGATGTTGGTGGGTTTTTTTTTAACTTGAACACAAAAATTATAAATCAAGTGTAACATATTCACGCCACTTTTACACCCTACAACTATAATTAAAATTTAATGAAGTCATCAAAATGCAAATGATGGATCCATACTGTAACATTGCCGATCTGGCGTCTTATGACAGAAAAAAGTATAAGCCAAACATGATTTTTTTTAAGAGAGGCAAAAAAAATTAATTTTTTAATAGAAAAGCCAACAACAAAACAACAACTAACTTTTTGTGTGTTTTTTTAATTAAATAATATTTGGTCGATCTGATCATTAAATGTCAAAATTCATTGGTCGGTGTAACTTTTGTCGGATTTGCTGAGGTACACAGTAAATAGTTAAGGACTAATAATTGGTTATAGTGGTGTCAAAAATTCTTGGTGCACCTTATTGTTCAATACTTTCTAAACATTCGAACATAGACTCCCCAGCTTTTGCACAATGACTTGAATCAATTTGTCTTAATAGATCAATATCTTTGTAACAACTATAATAAAAAATTGAAGTGGGTGGCTTCTACGGATTTTAAAAGGTTCACAGCTGGGCAATGTCGCTTTTAAAAGCAAGTCCGTCACGGTTTTCTAATCGCGACATTATGTTTATTGAACGTATGTTTTGAGAACCTTGAGTACACAGAAGTGTGTATGTGTGTGAGATAGATAGATAGATAGATAGATAGATAGATAGATAGATAGATAGATAGATAGA